GCGGGAGGCCTGCTTCTCCCTCTCCCACTCCCCCTGCTTGTGTTCCCTCTCTCGCTGTGTCTCTCTCTGTCAAATAAATAAAAATAAAATCTTTAAAAAATAAATAAATAAATAAGAAATGAAATGATCTTCCCATGTCAGGCTGATGTTCTATACTTTCAGAAGAGCATAATCACCACTAGGCAGAACAAAACATTTTCCTCTGTACGATGTTTCAAAAAAAATATTTTTTAAAAAGATTTTATTTATTTATTTGACAGAGAGAGAGACAGCGAGAGAGGGAACACAAGCAGGGGGAGTGGAAGGGGAGAAGCAGGCTTCCCGCTGAGCAGGGAGCCCGACGCGGGGCTCGATCCCAGCACCCTGGGATCATGACCTGAGCCGAAGGCAGATGCTTAATGACTGAGCCACCCAGGCCCCGAATGTTTCAAAATTTTAAAAGAATCTACGAACTTCTGTTTGTCAAAAGACATCATTTAGGGGCTCAAGTAGCCAATGAACACATGAAAAGGTATTCAACTTAAATATTCATCAAGGAAATGCAAATTAAAACTACAATATGATACCAAGACACATGCCAGAACAGCAGATAGTAAAAAAAACAATGAATTGGCAAAGGTGTGAAGCAACCCAGAAAGCTTACACAATGCTGGCGAGAGTATCAACTAGTAAAAGCACTTTAGAAAACTGTTTTGCAGTATCTACTAAAACCAAACATAGTCATGCCTTAGATGATCCAAAATTTTCACCTGTACCCAACAGAAGTGGGTAAATATGTGCAAGAAAAAGACAAAAATGTTCATGTTTAGAATAGCCCAAACCTGGAAACTACCCAGATGCTCATCAACAGTAGAATGGATAAATAAACTGTGACAAGTCACACAAGGGGCCACCACGCAGCATAGAGCAAACAATGAGTACAGGCCACAATACAGATGTCTCGAAACATAATGCTCAGTGAATGAAGCAGACACAAAAGAGAACACACTGTGTGATTTCATTTCTATCAAGTACAAAACCGGTCTACTGTGGCTGAAGTGATCGCATGGGGTAGAGGGTGAGATGGCTTCTGGGGACGGCTGGCAACATTCTGTTTCTTGAGCTGGGTGTCGGAAACACATTTAACCCATAGAGTCCATCCATCCCCATGTGGGGTGGAGGAGCCAGGAAGGAAGAGGTGGTCCATTCAGCTACGTAATGGAAACAGATTTGGTGCTTTGCCCTGTTCCTCTAACAAAAGCCCTCTATGATTCCATCCCTGCTGGCTGTCCCTACTCAAGGGCCACATCCACAGCAGATGAGCTGCAGCTGGGGAATGTCTGCAGGAACCAAGGGGTCCTGCTCGGGTCTGCCCTGGCTCAAAGTCTCCATGTCAGGGGCACCCAAGGTGTAAGTACTTTTTTTTCCCCAAGTGTTAAGTATTAAGTAACATCCGATTTGAGCCAGTCAGGTAACCAGTTTGAATTTTGATTGGTATGTTAAAAAATAAGCCTGTGCAAACACACACACACACATTTATCTTCCCGAAACTCTGGCCACAACCTGGTTCAGCTGAAGGGCTAGAGAATGGCCTCTTTGCTTCTAAAGGACACAGACTCCACAAAAGGTCTTTCCAGGGTGCCTGGGTGGCTTAGTAGGTTGGGCGTCTGCCTTCGGCTCGGGTAATGATCTCAGGGTCCTGGGATCAAGTCCCACATGGGGCTCCCTGCTCAGCCAGGAGCCTGCTTCTCCTTCTGCCTGCCGCTCCCCTTGCTTGGTGCTCTCTCACTCTCTCTAATAAATAGATAAAATCTTTAAAAAAAAAAAAAAAAAAAAGAGGTCTTTCCATGTACCAGAGGGGCCTGATGCCTCACACAGTCCACATTCCTTGCTACCTGTAGGGCTGTTCTTGTTCTGGGGACGAGACTTATGGCTATGCCCACGACAGATGTCCTCCCCAACCTGAGCAGCTGGGTTTCACCAAGCTGATGTACAGTTTGCCCAACACTTCCCCCATAGCCAAACAGCCTTGTCTGGTTCTACTCTCTCTTTTTGCCCTGGTGCCCATGGAAACCAGCTGGCAGATGGGCAGTTATTTCTGAAGCTCAAGGTACCGCAGATGGCGACATCCTTTCTTCTCCAAGAGAGCCCCAGCACAGGCTGCTGCAACGGCATTGGTCCTCGGGCCCCACCGTGGCCACCAGTCCCGGGCCGACCTCTTGACTGATCTCAGCCAGGAGTCCAATGGCACAGCTCGGGCTGGGGCACGCTACGGCTTTCATTCTCAGCAAATCTTCTATCCTGCAATGTCTGACTGAAACTTATTTAACTTTCTGTTTTCTTCTGAATTACACAGGTAGTCTAAATTCACCATAGAAAACCTCTAACATACAAACGTTAAGTAGCCGGTAAGAGGAGCACTGGAAAATAATCACAAAGCCCCTTTTGGGATCTACCTACCTACCTACCTACCTACCTACCTATCTATCTACCTACCTACCTACCTCCAGACATATTCACAATACAAGAGTTACCAAAAGTAAAATACAACAAAACAAACCAGATGAGAGGACTGTGTGTAGTGCCTGGTTTTCTGTATTAACAAACCTCTAAATAGGCTGCTGTGCAGACTGCAAGCCCCTGTGTTGGGACACTCAGGTTGTTCCCAATGTCCCACCATTACAAAGAAGCCGTGACGAACATCCTAGAATAATACCCTTGCTCATTTATCCAATGAATTCCTTAGCCTATATCCCTAGAAGTCTCTAACCCTCATGTTCTATACCCCAGGATCCCCCATTCCCTTAATGTAAGTTCTCATGGCATGAACACCCCCACCCACATGCTTATTTTCAAATGTTGCAAACTTTCCCGCAAGAACCTGGTACATGGAAGGCGGGAAGGCTGTGTGATCAGTCAGAGGGAATACCAGCTCCAAGAGGGCTTGGTGCTGTGTCCCTTGCTACACAACTGGCTGGGAAGCTGAACCACAGTGGAAGAATCATTTCCCGCCCTTGAACCCAAGAGCAGGCTGCCACCCTGCTTTTAGAACATTCCTGTGTCCAATCAAGGAATATGTGAGCACCTACTATGTGCCAGGCATTGCTCACAGTGCTGGGGATAGAGCAGAGTACACGACAGGCCAAACCCATGCTCCCGAGCAGCTGTATCCAGTTACAATATTTGGACAGTTGACCTGTGGTTGCTTTCCACTCTTTTTGCTCCTCTGTGGTTTTCTGGTATTTTTCTACATGGGACGTGGTTACTTATGAAAATAACAACATAAAGAACAAATACAGAAATACATGCATATATTGAGTTTCACCTTGTGAAATCTGGAGCTTACCATGAAGTGCCACCGTGTTTAATGCTAAAGTCCCTTGTCACCCTCCCCTGTCAGCTTTGGTAGAAATGTCCCCAGTGTCCCATCACAAGTGTCTGCTCGGACTCTGCGCAGGCCCTGGGGCTGTTTCCAGGAAGACTCACCTGGTGTTGAAGAGAGCAGCTTTCACAGCAATGCAGATGGTGTCAAACAAGTTCCCACCGCATTCCAGCAGCTAAGGGAGAGGCAGGGAGCGAGGCGGGGAGGAAAAGCAACCGTCATTTCTTGCTCCAAGTACCATCCCAGTTAAAGGACACTGGTTCCCATGAAATGCTATTTACAAGATAAAGAGAAGAACGTGTGGATGCTCTCCTGGCTGACACTGGTGCGTTCACCCTCATTGCAAGAGGCACCTTGGAGGCTGTGCTGGCCTGGGCCCCGCAGGTGAGGTCACCGCTGGCCCTGGCTGTGGGGCCACCACTCAGCCTCTAGCTTGTGGTGGGTCTCCTCTACCTGGCCCCCAGCCAGTTGGGTCTGCATTCAGGGAGGACATGATCACCTTTATTTCGTCCCAGCGGTTCCCGAGCGTGACTCTCCTCTGTGCTGACATAAACCCGGCCTCCACACAGGTAAATCACGGTGGCCACCGACGCTGCAGCCGCCACCAGGTTCACGGTTATTAGCGTGGTGACCTCCTGTATGTAATCCCCAACGCACAGCTGCTGCTCAGACATGGAACAGACGCTCCGCGCTGCGCATTCAGTGCCATAAAAACGAAATTCTTGCCCAAGAGCAAAAGCATTGACTGTGCTTAAGTGTGCTCATTCAGCCGGGAAGGTCAGAGCACAGGATTAAGTGGATGGTGACACATCCTTCTGTCCTCATTTCAGTGATGCCCTCCTGGCCTGTGTTACCACTCGGCTTTGTAATTGCAGCTCACTGGCCTAGCGAGGACTAGCTCTCCTCCGTGTGCTTCAGACCCAGACTGCCGCCCAGCAAAGAGCTCCAGCTGGACTCGACTCAGACCGTCTGCGAGGACTCCTGTCTTCACCAGTCAGCTGGGGGCTACTTTCCAGGGCGCCTGAGTGGCTCAGTAGGTTGGGCGTCTGCCTTCGGCTCAGGTAATGATCTCAGGGTCCTGGGATCAAGTCCCGCACGGGGCTCCCTGCTCAGCCGGGAGCCTGCTTCTCCTTCTGCCTGCCGCTCCCCCTGCTTGGTGCTCTCTCACTCCCTCTAACAAATAGATAAAATCTTAAAAAAAAAAAAAAAAAGAGTTGCTAGACGTCCCACACCTCCTGTTCTCTCCCAACTTGTCTGGACCTGTTCGCACACCCGCTCGGGCTGCTTTGGGTGTCCATACCGCACCCTCTGTCCCAACAGAGTTGCAACACAGGCTGAATGAGCTCATACTCGTAAAGCCCTCCGCAGTGTGTCCAGCACACAGTAAGCATTAGCTAAGTGCTTTTACAGAATACTGGTTTGCGCCTTCATTTCCCGTTGCCGTCCTCCCAGACAGAGGGTGAGTGCTGCACGTCCTCCATGTGCGTCGCTGACAGCTGCGCTCTCTAACCCTGGCTGTGCATCACAACCACCTGGGGAGCTTATGCAACGTGCAGGGTGACATCACGGCGTGTGTGTTTTACTCCAGGCTTGAGGCGGTCCTGATGATCAGCCTGGGCTGAAGACCACCATCTCCCACTCTGATATCCCACAGTGTCTGCCTCATGCAAAGAAGGTGCTAGTGAAATGCTGACATCCGCTGTAGCAGCAGTGGGGTCTCCCCGCTGGAAGCGACCCTGGAGAGCACGTCACCCACCCTTCCTTGGCAGCTGGGGACACAGAAGCCCTCCCACTCGTGACACGGTGGCCTGCCACAAACTTTGATTTTCAACATTCTGGCTTATCAGCAAGAGAGGAAATCAAGAGGGCAGAATGCTAAACCCGATCTGCCCATGGGCCCCCCAAAGGGCAGGTACCAGCCTGCCTGCCTTCCTCCCTGGGGTGCAAAGGATGAGCCCACTCCAGGCCTCAGGTCTGCTTGCTCGGGCTCCTCACAGTGTGCCCCACAATGGGGTAAACCAGGTCGGGCAGTGTGGGTCTGACACTCTCCTCTGCCACTTGCTGGCCATGTGTCCTCTGAGCATCAGGTTCCCCCTGAGTAAAGCAAAGCCCTGCTTCTCTATAGGATGACTGCAAGGATTAAATGAGATCACATCCTTACCATTCGGCACATAACAGGGGCTCGAAGACCCTAGCTTCCTCTCCTGCTGCTAAGCAGGCACAGCCTAGTAAGAATCTTTCTACTAAACACAGAGGCAGGGGACAATGGGTGCGATATGGACACCCAAAGCAGCCCGAGCGGGTGTGTGAACAGGTCCAGACAAGCTGGGAGAGAACAGGAGGTGTGGGACGTCTAGCATTACAGAGAGTCTGGGCTGTGGTCCTAGAGCAGGACAGAGGTGAAAATCCCTCCTATAACAGAGGTGCGGAAGGAGCAGAACTGGAGAAGAGGAGGATACACACGGTCATAAACACTCCTTTTCCTGTCAGGTGCACAGATTCTAGAATGTTCTTTCAGGGGAGCAGCACAACTTCTTCTGTTGGCCTTCTGGGGATGAGGGGTTTCTTTTCATAAGGCAAACCTCCAAAACATACTGCTAGGAAGCACAAGGAGAAAACATGTCTCCCCACAAAACACCTGCTCCCCCTGGACCTCCCCTCACCAACCTCTCAGACCCCCGGGCTCCGTGCCTCCTGGCACCACACACACAGCCAGCTGCCAGGTGCTGCGGTCACTCCCCCACTCTCTGTCCTCCCAACGCCCAGTGCCATGGACTATGGGCCAGTCCCTCATCACGACTCCCGGGGTCACCACAAGACAGCTTTGTGACCCATCTGTCCACCAAAGGTCGCCTGCACGCTGTCATACCTAACAGGTATTCCACTTGGAGTAAAAACCATGCCATTAAAGAAGCAAGAAGTGCAAAGAAGGGTGACATTTCCAGGAAGTTACATTTCTACTCTCATAAGATAACCCAACTGAGGTAAAAAATAACACTGGAAATAGGGGGGTCATCTGACTGGAATAGTAAATGCACCTACAGTAAAAGCATGAAAACAGGGAAAGTTGCCCAGTGACTGTTTGAAAGATGGGCTCTGCTTAAGGACTATCCAGACCAGTTGGTAAAAATAAACTGAGATTCACTCATCTTTTTAATTCCAGTGACAAGACTGGATTTCCACCATCTTGCTTCAAACATGGATTCAACGTATTCAGTATATTTTTAGATGTAAGATAAAAACTTACTCCCCAAACGAAAGCCGACCCCCTACCTTGCATGCACCAAGCACGTGGCCATCAAGGCTGAACGCAAACACTGGCTTTCACAGAACTGGAACCCCTCCACAGACACAAATTATGTGAATGACAAAAATGGATCTACCTCATTAATACTATACAGTTTCAAAAACTGCTTTTCTAATTCATTAAAAACTTTTTTTAAAAAAAGATTTTATTTATTCATTTGAGAGAGACAGAGCACAAGCAGGGGGAGCGGCAGAGGCAGAGGGAAAAGCAGACTCCCTGCTGAGCAGGGGGGCCCGACGCGGGGCTCGATCCCAGGACCCTGGGATCATGACCTGAGCCGAAGGCAGACGCTTAACAGACGAGCCACCCAGGCGCCCCTCATTAAAAACTTTTCTGAGGGGGCACCTGGGTGGCTCAGTTGGTTAAGCGTCTGCCTTTGGCTCAGGTCATGATCTCAGGGTCCTGGGATCGAGCCCTACATCAGGCTCCCTATTCAGTGGGGAGTCTGCTTCTCCCTCTCCCTCTGCCCCCTGCTCCTGCTCTCACTCACGTTCTCTCTCTCAAAAACAAAACAAAAAAAAACCCAACTTTTCTGAGGATGACATTTCAAAAGCTCATGTCTTATTTCCAAAACAAATAGAGCCTTGAGAAAAAATATTAGAGAAGTAATCCAAATGCAAGGAGTTTTAAAAGGGAAGGTCTGCAGATGACAGGGACGCAGTGTACCACTGAGACTCCTGCTTACCACATATCCTCTGCCCATGGAAGGAGGGCGCTGGTTCTCAACTGAGACAATGTCCCAGTAGTCATCCGTTTTGCAAAAGCCTTCGCTGAGAGAACAGGCCTCTTGACTAATCCAAAAGTGCATCAGGACCCCTCCCTGGAACAGCCTCCTACAAAACCACAAGTGTGCACAAATATGGACAAGAAATAAAGCAGGATCACCAAAGGACAAGTGCAATGCACCACAACACTCGTGTCTTCAGCTTTTTTGGAGGTAAGGAAAAGACAGAATGTTTTCAGATACAGGGTGGAACCTTACAGTTTGCACCATGGGGCTGTAACTCCCCAGGCAGCTATGAAGCCTGCCTCTTATTCAGCAAGGACTGGAGGCTGCCCTTCCCTCCTCCTCAAAACCAGGACCTACAAAATTACCTGCTTGGTCGGAATTGCACTAAAAGGTACATCCCACTTACCGGAGATAAGGAAAAGCAAACGGACTTTGTAATTTCATTATTTCTACCCATTAGCGTCAGCATCCAAAACAACTCGAACCTGCCAGACAATGATCACCGCTGCTGTCTTCTGGCTCCATCCATTACCAAATTAATTTAAAAGTATCCAGAAAGTCCTACTCTGTTTCATGCAGGATCAACACCTAGAGACAGCCAGGCTGTTCCTCGTCAGGAGGTTCACTCTCAGGCCACCAAATCTTTAGATTCATGAACGAATTTGTTTGATCAACAGCTTAGCCTTGTGACCTCAATCTGAAGTGGAAGATGTAGTCACTCATTTCAAGGTTCCTAAAATTTAACTAAAAAGAATAAAATAAGACCCCACAAGAGCCTCTCCCTACATGAACAAGCAAGTGGCAAAATGAGTGATGCCGGTATGAGCAGTTACTGTCCAGCACCCAGAAGCAGGCCATGGAGCCTCGGGCCGGGGTGGGGGGGCAGGGGGGAGAAGACACCAGGCAGGAAATGGGAGACTGGATGAGAGAGGTTCCTGGAGGAGCAGAATCAGAGGCAGGGCCTCAGGGTCCTCCTCTGGGAAGTGAGGGACACAAAGCAGGTGGGCTACAGAGTGCTTTCAAGGGAGGATGGCTTAGTGCAATCAAGAGCAAGCACCGGCCTTAAAGAGATGCGGCTTTGAGGCCCAACCCCACTCCTCACGAGCTGAGACCTCTTGGGCTAGTCGCTGTACTTCTCCAAGCCTTAGTTCCCTCACCTGTAAATGGGGAAGACAGCAGTGTCTGCTTGCAAGAGCCCTATATGGGCCTACATGAAAATGTATATAAGAAGCTCGCTCCCGGGGCACCTGGGTGACGTCCAACTCTTGGTTTTGGCTCACGTTATGACCTCAGGGTTGTGAGATCAGGCCCCGCATTGCGCTCCATGCTAAGCATGGAGTGTGCCTCAGTTTCTCTCTCCTTCTCTCTCTCTCCTTCTCCCTCTGCCCCTCCATCCCCCTGTGTGCGCACTCTCTAATAAATAAATAAATCTTTAAAAAAAAAAAAGCTCATCCTCATTCCACTTGGAAGAATACGCCAACTTGCCTAACTTCTGCCCATCACCTCCGTCTGATACCATCTAGAGAGCAACTTGTTTTTTTTTCTCCTTCCCCGACAGGCCCAGTGGATAAGCTTAGGTCTACCATGAAAGGACTGTTCTGTGATTTTTTTTTTTTTTTAAAGATTTTATTCATTTATTTGAGAGAGAAAGAATGAGAGGCAGAGAGCATGAGAGGTAGGAGGGTCAGAGGGAGAAGCAGACTACCCGCTGAGCAGGGAGCCTGATGCGGGACTCGATTCTAGGACTCCAGGATCATGACCTGAGCCGAAGGCAGTCGTTTAACCAAGTGAGCCACTCAGGCACCCTGGTCTGTGATTTTTACTGCAGGATGGTATTCTCTGTGTGCTAGGACACGTGTTGTATTTAATTTCAAAAACTTATTACAGGACATCATGCTTTTTCCATCTAATCTCACCCTGGAAGTTGAAAGCATCCACTTGAAGAGGGAAAAAGCGCCGGCAGGAAAGTAGGCCAACTGGTCTCCAGCAGAGGCAGACGGTGTGGCCAGTACAGCAACGTGATACGTACCAGCACGTCCACATAGAGGATCCAACAATGCTCCCGGGGACTAATGCAGAGGGACTTGAGGTCGACGCTGCTCTTGTTGTTAAATATCCGGTAGAGGGTATTAGCAATCTCCGTGCCAAGGTCATCACCTCCTCGACCTTCAAATTCAGGGGTAGCATTGGCCGAACTACATGGAGAGGCAACAGAAAAGCTGAGTGAGTCTTTTCAAAAACAAAGAGCAAAGGGCACAGGGCTTTGTTCCAGTCGCCCTGTGGAATGCTGAAAGGACCAGCGCTCTAAGGAAAGTTGCTGCAGTGGGAAAGACAGCACCCGCCCCGTTTCCAGCCTCCAGACGCGGGCGCAGGGAGCCAGACTGGCACCGCGCCCTGTTTGTCAGTGTGCGTGATGGGCATCCCCCCGCCCCCCACTTCTAACAGAAGCCATCTTTTTTTTTTTTTTTTTTAAAGATTTTATTTATTTATTTGAGAGAGAGAGAATGAGAGAGA